TATGTATATTTGGTAATCATAGTTCTATTCAGATTCAAACAACATTTTAGCACAAATTGATAATTTTACCGACATTTGTTACACTCTTATTTAAGGAAGCTTTGATTTACAGTAAGATTATTTTTCGAATTACTTTTTTTTAGATATAATTCTGCAGAGAACAAAGAGAAGTCTGGATTCATCATAGAATTTGTAAAAGGCCCAATATCCTGATCAAGTGGAGGGTGTTGTTAGATGTTTGTAGCCCCCCCCCCCCCACCCCCATAACCCCCCCCCCCCCCCCCAACAAAAAAAACCCCAACCCCAACCCCAAAAACAAAATAGTCGAAATTGCAGTTCTGCAATACAATTGCTTAGCCTAGAAGGCATGTTTAACTGTCATATTAAGAATGACATCTAAAAAGTTAAAAGTAGTCAAATTCAGTTGATACTTTTTTTTATTTTGGAAAGGAGTGTTACGTTACTGTATAAATCCTAGTTTATGTTAACATTACATTGATACTGTCGACTTTTTTTTACAAGAGGGTATTTTTGTTGTGCTGTTTTAGGGAGCAACCATTTAACTTTAAGGGAGGGGAGGGGGTATGGTTTTTTGTCTGAGTCAGAATTTTTTTTCGCCCAAAGCGCGAACATTTTTTTTTTCAAAATTTAACACTATAAGGTATGGGGGAAATCTGGATTCAGAATATTTATTTAGGAAATAACCATACCCTCCCCCTCTTTGAAATCACATGGTCGATCCCTTGTTGCTACACACCTGTATCTTACCTCTTTTTATTTCGAAACATGGCGTTCCAAATTACCATTGAATTAACTTCATATGATTTCGGACCAAGTGTTGAAATGAGTAATCCCATTACCAGGGGCATGTTTTTCGAAAGTATCTTATGACTAAGACATGTCTTATGATGGTCTTAGGACATGTCAAAGTCGTAAGATACGTTTTCGTAAGTGTCCCAAGTTACGATATATCATAATTTTTGTCGTAAACTTAAGACACTAGCTCGCGACATGACTTATGATGGTCTTATGATTATCAACTAGAATTCTAATTACTTTTCATGTATAATTTCATGTACAATGTACATTACAATAAAAATAATAGTTGTGTTGCTCAGTCGGCAAAATATTTAGATTTATTCTTCTCCATTTTGCGTTAAAACTTTTTGAATCTCCTGCGACGTAAGATTTGGACTCATTTTCTTACTCATGATTTTGAAAAATAAATATACGTATTATTTATTTCCTTATATATTACTTTATTTACGCATTTGCACGGGCATATAAACAGACACTTTCAGTAATATTTTGAAACGCCATATAATTTCCATATTATAAATAAGTTTTATGTTAATGGATCACATACTAGCAAATGCATACTATCATATAACTTTAATAGATCTATTTTGATTTCGATTATATCACATCAAAACATTCTACCATGGACTAACCAAGTGACACTGTTTAGTCTCAAATGGAGACAAGCAATTGTATGTTAAAAAAATATTTCTTTTAAATTGCCTTATGTAGATTTTTTTTTGTAGAAGGGATAAAGACAAATTTTGAATCGTTCAAAGCAAAGAAACGAAGAGACGAAACTGGTAAACAAGAAGAACATAACAAGAAAATGGCTGTGTACAGCAAGATGAGAGAGTAAGAACTGATTTTTTTATTATGGCGAACAATTCAGATATTACAGTCAACATTAGAAGCGGATTTAGACGGGAGTTTTATTTAATATTATATACTTATATCACTTTAAACAGGGAACCCCCTTTTAACTTCATTTTTTTTTATTTTCACTAAATTCCTTTTGTGACGCTACAATAAAAAAAGGAAAAAGGTGACCATATCTAACGACGTCACAAATATATATATACCTCGTTTTGCAGATCAGTGAAAAACTTTGTCTACGTAACGTCTAAAAATCAAAATAGAAACAGAATCCAACACCGAATCTCGTGCAATATAATATTTCTCCACTCTCGACAATTGAATTTTCAATACTCAAAAAGCTCGGCAGGCCTTCACTTCATGTAGCGGTAGAATTTCTCTCTCCCTCTCTCGCCGGCCGGGCTTTTCAAGAGAGAGAGAAAGAGAGAAATTAAATGTTTGGAATTGAGTGTTCTGTTCGATTATATTATATTCATAAATAATATACAGCATGCTTTCTGTCACAGTAATCACTAGTATTGTTTTTACAGACTGATTTTTGCTGAGGTTATAATAATAATAATAATGATAATAATATCTTTATTGAAAGAGAGTCATTACGGCATATATGGAATTTATTTGTATGTATTCAAAATGAAATTCAAGGAATTTTGATTTGAGCTCTATTCTCTTTTTTTTAGAAATTAAACAACAGAAAAAAGGCCCTAAAAGTAAAAGTCCAGTATACCAGAGGAACAAAAAGAAAAGGGCTCGAAAAGCCTTGTGGTGCAGAACATGTCTTATGAACAAACAGATTCATAAGACGAAGGATCGTTTATCGTCAGTCCTCTGCCTTGGAGGTCTGATGATGTTGATAAATTAGTAAAAAAACTAGGCCAAAAGCATGATGGTCAACTAACCAAGAAAAGCAGACGGCAGCACTATAAACGAAAGGTTGGGGCAGTTTCAACAAGGATAAAACCAGAAGTCGTGCCAGAACATGAATGGGTGTTTAAATAGTTTAAAATTAATGTCAATGATTAAACTTTATTCATTTTAAGTATGCAACTTTTACCGACCAAAGTAAATGCTACATGTAATTGTTAATAATTTTTACACAATTATTTGTCCAAAACTAAAAAAACAAAAAATCTGATATATCGTTCTATTCTTATATTAACATATTTCAGTCATCACGAAATCAAATAGATGAGAACAGAAAGAGAAAAAATACATCTTCATGTCGGACGTCAACATACCGTCTTCAACAACAACAAACGGTTCGAAGGAGAACGTTTTTGATAAAAAAATAGTAAAGAAAAGTGCTTCTTGAAACAACAGTATTGTCGTAATGGGCAAAACTATTTAAAAATAACACGAACAATGTACATTTCATTGGCAAAACAAAATATAATAACTTTTTTTATTTGTAACCTAGCATCACGGAAAATAAATGTTAAAAAAATATTTTTTTATAGAATCTTCATTTTTAGATGGAAAATCTTGTTTTTTTTTAAATATGGAAGTGATACCGAGAAAATAAGCAGTGTATTATTTGCACATAGTAGTAAAAAAAAAGAAGACAAAATGGTAATTCTTCGAAATAGTAAGAAACTTGGTATATATTAAATTTCAATGTTTTAAATATTTCTTTTGTGCGTAATTATACAATATAAACAAGAAAAAGCTAGATAGCAGTAAATTTTATCTGGTACCCTGATGTAAGCAATCATACAATGCATGTATACAACAGTTGGTTTTACATTTAAAATCCTTGTTTTAGTGGTGAAGCTCTTCATTGTGTATTTTTTATATTATATTGATGTCCACGCGAGCATAATCAAATATATATTTTGAAATTAATTGCACTGATAAAACATATAGACATGTAACTGGGATCTTATATGTGAATCTTTTTTTTTTCTTCGATGGATTAAAAACAGTTAGCAATGAAAGGGAAACAACTCTTGTTAAAATAAGAATATTTTTCGTATCTTTAAAAATTGAAGAAATTTGTTGTTTTATTTTTAGCTTAAAGGTTTACACGTTTATAATTATTAATATTCTTATTAAAAATAAGTATTAAGGTCTTGATTTTTTTATTTTAATAAGAAAGGGGTTGTATTTAATTGGGTGCTTGTTAAACCCTCCAAATTACGTTGGATTTTATTATTCAGCTCGAATCTTTGTATTCAAAGGGAAATAACTCTTTCTATTAAAATAGTTGTTAGTTGTAATTAGGTAAGACAATCAAAACAACCACAACAAAGAGAATTCTGCAAATATGTTTCTGCTTATTATATTTAAATACTCAGTCCTTTTACATCATGGAATTGATATGTTTTTGTTCCTTAAAACAGCTTTAGCAAAAACAAACAAAAATGCACAAAATTAGAGTTTTATAATTTTGTTATGTATGTAGATGTTTTTTTTTTAAATTATTATAGAATGGAATGTTAGTACTTTAATTTGTCATGTATTTGTAAATTGAAAATAATGAATAAATTTAGCTAAGATTCTAGATAATTGGTTTTTTTTTATTCAGGATTTCGCCATAGTCTAGATCTCCATTAAGAGCAGCTTTTTTATGAATTTCCAGTTGCTCCTCTCACTGTAATATCTTATATTTTGAGACAATCATGAGTGTTTAATTCGAATTACGGGTTGTGGCAACTTAGGGTGTACAATTATGGCTTTGTTTGTTATACTGAAGTATGTTTGTATAAACAAATATATTTTGCATTATAATAGGATTCGATTGTAAGAACTGTTACTGGTCATATGTGGATGAAAGCTGCAAATATATACTGTTTTCTGTCGTGAATTTGCAGGTCAATTGGCATATATTTGGTGCACCAAACACGGAGATTACAAAGATTTTCGATAGTAAATAGAGTCAAAATGAGTTTAAATTTTAAGTAAATCAAGTTATTTCACACATTAAATCTTTAAACTTGAAGTTGAATTTGATTTCAATTTGCATTAAATGAAAGTTTATCGTTGTATTAAATTTGTAACTCGATGTTGAATCAGATTTAAAACCACAGTAAACAGCTTACTGTTTGGAATATTATTGACTTTAATTTGTAGTAAATCATGTTTTACAGATTTTCTCTACATTAAATTTGATGTTGTATGTATATTAAACTTTGTTAAATTCGAAAATTACTGGACAGTAAATCAGGTGTCAATTCATGAACTTACTGCCTCCAGTAAACTATTTGTAAACTACTATTAAACATTGCGTTTACTTGAACTATAAACTACCAGAAAAAAAATCAACTCGGAAATTACGACTGATTTTGAAGTAGTTTATTGATACCTTAAATTAATACTTTCATGCAGTGGAGAACATGCATTAATTGAGCGCTGCATATACGTGTTGTTTAATCATCATAGTCGTCAAGATTAAGTATACAGGAGAAGTTTGGTTACAAACAAAGGTAAAACTTTAAAGTAATTATATTTTCATTACAATTTTATATTATTCATTATATATTTGGTGGCTTATGTTTGTAGTCATATTTTAGTTCATATGAAAGCATTCCTTTGAGAATAGCTAAGACATCAGAAACAACTTTCCACAAAGAAATCGGGCGAAAAGAGGATGTGTTCCTGCAGACTTTGTCAATTAATCTTAAATATAATACAAACAATTAGCTATTCATTGTCCTAATGTCTTTGATTATATTTTTAATGTCTTTTAAACAAAATAAGTACAATTAACATTTTAATTTTGCCTACATAGAACTGTTGAATAATGTATATCGGAAACACCAGTTATTTCTTAATAAAGAAAACACGACTATTGTTTGAATTTACAGCATTATCATAGATTGTCCGTTTAGTTTGATTTCTACATGGTCGATGTAATATTGCATGAAATTAAGAAAGACCTTAAACCCGAGGCAGCAGAATTTAACCAATGTTCAAAACTTCAAAATCAATTTGGAATATATCACCAAGCGAGTAAAACCTGATGGAAACTCAAAACAGTTCATGACCGGATGTTTTGACAGAGTAAGTGTCGTTTGCTAAACAATGTTATCCACGTTACGATAATCACAACTAGGTAACAATCCTAGTTAATGATTCTTAATGACTATAATTTAGAGGTTAATCTTACTGCTTCACGATCTTTAAGTATTTTTTCCCCGACGTCATTTTAAGCTTGTCTTTAAGTGTTGACCGAATATTCACATTGCAAACATTGCAGCGATTTTAAAATATTTACAAAGATTGTGGTAATGAAAATATTTTCCAACTATATGCGTTTGGTTGTTCACCGATAACAATACTATATTACAATTTTCTTTAAGCCTTACAATGTATGACAAAACAAAATATACTGTAAGCAACTGTATGGCTTATTTAAAAACCTGTTTACATTATTAACACCTTGTATTCATTTTTGACGACGAACATTTCGCATATTCATTATTGTCATCGAATAATGATTTTTAAATTCTTTATCAAGATCAAACAAAGCTATTATCTTTATCAAATATTTTGATCTGTTTATTATGAACAATATGAATTTCATGTACAGATAAAAACGAAGTTTAACTGCTTTTAAGGCGAAGGTTTGATTTTGGATTGGACCTAAACACATATACATTTTATGCGATCTTTTAGATTTTTGAAATTAAATATTGAATGTATGTACTTTAATACTCCAATGATGTTTTAAATAAAGATATACCATTTTCATGAGGTTTACAGCAATAAATTTGAAAGAATTCAGTAAAATAGCGAAATTATGCAATTTTTACTTGTACGTGATTATAACAAATATATTGCACAACCGTTGCACAAAACGATTATATTGCAATTGATTATTTATGACGAGAACATATTTGAAATGTCCCCTACATATTTCTGTAACTTTTGGCGAATTAAAATAGTCGTCAAGATAAATTTAATTTAAGGGAGGTTTGATTTTAATCATGTCAATATCGAACGTCTGACTACTGACATAATGATATCCTCGGAGACTGAAAGTCTACCACCAGCAGTATCGACCCAGTACTATACAATTCCTTTAAAAAAACACTTTACAATGTCTTGATATCTTTTTAGCCATGTTACCCTTATCACAACTACTTAAAAATTCAAGTTAATGATTCTAGAAGGATATGTGTAATTTCTAAATTAGAGGAAGATCTAACATCTTCGCAGTACTGGGAACCCTGGATGGATATATATTTCAAATGGTCATATTAGCGTGTCTTATTGTTTTAACCGAATATTCACAAATGTAAATGAAAAAATGTATTACGACAAATGAGACGTTGTATTGTTTACTATTGTTAATTTTCCTTTTTTGGACGGAGATGTTCCTCAGGCTTTTTTTTACGATGTGTGTAATACCGAAATCGTTCGATATTTCCGTGTTTGTGGTGACGTTTTAGATTTCTATGAACGTAATCAAATGTGTTAGTGGTAAATGATTAAGTCAGGGATCTCATTACCATTTTACAAATTACTGATAACTTTTACTAATTCTTTCATGTCAACATAGTTTTTAGTTTTGAAGTTTATCTGTAACCATAGAATTCTTATAAGAACGGGATATGAAATCCTAATTTTTACGGTTATTTTGTTTATAAAGCACATAAATTTAAATACGATCCATTCAAACCTCCTTTGAATGCTAGTAACTTTATTCTTGAAAGATTTCCTTTTAACCATGTAGTATTATCTTTAAATATAGTTTACATCAGTGCTAAAAATATTTTGTTTTTTATTAACGAAAACATAACTGACATAACACATGAAACTCTATATATGATTCTAGTAAATCATATTTTTGCAAGTTAGTCATTACTCGTCTAAATATCAAACGAGTAAGGAAAACCTCTTGGTATTATGCAAGTCTGGAATATTGTATGTAGCTGTTGTTTTAACCATTCAGGAATTTGATGTCGATATCTCATCAGTCGCTACTCTTCAAATATTGAATTTACAATGATACCAAAGTAATTTTTCTCGTAATATGCACACATTAAGTGATTTCGGAGAAAAGGAAGAAGTATGATGAAACGTAATATATTATCTAACAAGCTTACTCTGTACGACGCACCCGGTCTTGCTCTTTTGTAGTTTTTATGTGATTCCTTTAGTTTATTTTTGTTACATTGATTTGTTTCTTTTACTTGATTGCAAGCGTTGCTCTCCATCTATTGCAGTTCATTCAGAATTCGGACCAAACTGCAACTTAGTGAAATATACTTTAAGCTCAAATATGTTCTCTTGAAGTTTTAAAGGGGAATAAGATCAATATTTCAGAAGGTCGATAATTTTAGATTATCATCCATTTCAACATACTGCAATGTATTAACAACATATTGTACTTCCATGTATATTTTACTAAATATAAAAAACTATAACATGTTTTAATTTAAACTGATGTCCGATTCTTATGAATATAGAAGACATTCTAAAGGAAAAATAGTATAGTAATTGGCATGTCCAAGAAAGGTATATTTCCAGTAGAAAAACTGCTGTACCCGTCGTTTGCTTTTTCAGAAGGGAAATGATAACATTATATAGAAATTATGTTTTCATTTCAATTTGTTTTATTGTTATCATTTACCAGAACGTTTTTCTGTGAATTTATAATTAATAGCGCCATTGCTAAAACGGAATAAACGTTCAAAAGATCAAGTTTTCAGTGTTTACAGGGGAGTAATATTTTGACACTAAATTTCGTACTGTGTGTTTATTTGTCATATGGTTAAAACAAAGATTTAGGAACAAAAAGTATTTAAAAAAGTAATCAGTGCTTATAGTTTTAGTGGCATTTATAGCTATTTGTATGTGTAAAATCAAATACCTTATAGTTTTGTTTTGTGATAGAACATTAGCATCTAATGTAACATTTGTTCGAAGAAACATAGCACCAGCTGTTATTGGCAGGGGATGACCATCGTCACTTCTACCATTTGTAGTTAACGTAACCTTTTATTGAGAGAGAATGACATTGCTATGGTATTGTATTACATTCGGTCATTGTGACGTCTTGTTGTCAATTGAATATATATATACCAGTTTAAGAGGACGAACATTAACCTGCATTGTCTTTTAATTCCTTCAATGGGGGTTATTTTCCTTGAAATTTGGCATTGATATACTAGTATAGAAATTTTGAAAGCAATGATGTATTGAATAAAATTTGTCTTGTTAGAAAAAAAATACATAGAGTAAAAACTCAAATCATGTGGGTTGATTGCATAAACATGATAAAGTATTTTTATGCATCATCAGCAATTACAGCATTTCATCACTGAAAATTCAATATGGGAACAGTTTGGAATTAGTTCATATCCTTTACCAATAAGACCATGTCTAATAATTAACTGTTTATGTTTTTAAAATCTACCACCAGAAAGGAAGAGACACACGAAGAAAAAAAAGATGCAACAATTAGCTAAACGTGCCATATATGCTGAGTATTTTTTTCTTTATTACTTTAGAAACATTTTGTTTCGATTAGTTTATCTTGCAAATTAAAACTACATAATTTTATCAGTATAAAAACAAAGCGGAAGATGCATAGCGGGCATTAAAATCTCATTAGTCGAAAAAAAGGCAACACAATGGCAATAATGAAAAACGACAAAAAAGACCAACAAGTACATAACACATTACATAAAATATTAAAGACTGAGCAACACGAATATAAAATTGTGTAAAACGATTAAAACTTTAACATGTATAATGCCCTTTAAAGATTCAGATTACTGATTTTCAAAAGATATTCTGATTTATTTGGTTTTGTTTTTTGTTGTTGTTGTTGTTGTTTTTATGTTTTTATGGGTATTGTTTATGTTTAGGGCTCCTTTAGACCATGAACATCATGAAAGCGGACACAAAACGATGAAAAAACACACCTCTGACCTTCTGTTCAATATAAAAGACTTAACATTTTGAATTTTTATCAAGTAAGAAACAATAAACGATACCTCATCAATATTAACGATCAAATTTGGTTGTTTTTTTTTAAGTAGGGCATTAACAATGGTTTTAGCTGTCGTATTGAGTAAGGGTTGATTTATCTAAAACCAATGTATTGTATTATTCGTTTACTATTTAATTAATTAAATCAATAAAGATTAAACTATCAAAACCTTATACCATTGAATTATTGACGATTCTAGACAACAAAGAAACATATTGATAGGTAAGGTTTTTGGTACACGCATATTTTACATTTGAAATAACAATGAACATTGTATAAATTGACAGATTTAGAATATATCAACAATGAAAAATGTTTATCTTGCAACTAATATATAATAGTACTATAGTTACACTTTATTGTATTTTTAAAATTATTATCATATTTTGTTTAGCTTGTAAATATCACAAATAATTTTAGTATCATTTCTTTCAATCTGTATCAAGAATTCAGACTTCAGCATTGTTAATAGTTCACCATTTATAAGCTGATTATTTGTTTGGATTTGGTCCTTAAGCTCGAAATAAACTTAAACACATTTATCCTGTATGGAAATTGCGTTATTTCCCTCTGTTTATGCTTTAAAATTAATATTGCATGTTGTTCTCAGAATAAAACAGAGTTATCAGTTCTTTTGGGTACACAAATAAAGCACGTGTATGAATGCTCTTCAGTGCCAATTCTCAAAAAGATGCATTAGCGCCGTAAGTCATAATCAATAACGTACGTATGTATGTATGTATATATATATGTGTGTGTGTGTGTGTGTGTGTGTGTGTGTGTGTGTGTGTGTGTGTGTGTATGTGTGTGAACGTAGATCCCTCAGTTATTCGGGACACCCCTCGAGAGCTGCGAGGGTACAGTGGGGTCCGTGTTCACTCCCGATTGGGAGTAATGGAGATGTGTCACTAACGTATTATAACTATGGGAACATATCTGTAATCGTATTAAGGTTGAATGTTAAAAGATTTTTATTTATATAGTTCATATTGTGAAACATTTATAAAATAAAGACTGCAGGTGTATGCGGATTGTCCATTAACACATTTTCATTCTTTAATATAAAAAAAAAACTTAACGGTTCACAGCGTTAAAAACAATAGAAAACAAAATTGTATTTTTCTTTTTCTTTTTATTTTATCAAATATTGAATTTAATAAACCTTTTATATTTGAATGATTTCGTATCTAAGTAATTAACTCCTTTTAATCTGTATAGCGATCATATGTTATGTTTAAGAACTTCATCAGTCTTGAGAAAAAATCATTGAACAAAAAAGGACTAAAAATCATACCACCATCATACCGTCATACATTCTGATTAAATAAAAAACACACCACTGTAAATGACGAGAAAAAAAACATAAAAATAAAGTGTAGATCTGGTGATCAATAAATAGCAAATTGAAACAACAGGTAAGTTTTCAGTTATATTTACGTTACGAATTTTGAATTCGACATTGATCAAACATAACTTAATGATCATGATACATCCTATAGTGATACTAACAAAGTCAACAGTGGATTCGATTTGTAAGTTATGAACGATGATATCCATGAAAAACGAACAACAAATATAGATGCTACGATAACAAAAGACATGAGATTTAAGCTATGCGAATAGATATTGTATATGTTGTTACGGATTTTTTACAAATACAAGGATTTTGACTGTACGCCAACCACCACCCCCTCCCCTTTTACACAACATCCTGATGTTGGAAACGTTACATGTTACAATTCTTTGGAGGAAGACTCTTCTAAATATAAAAATGTGGACATGTGGTACGATTGCCAATGAGATTAGTATCCACCCATATGCAAGCGATCTATATCGAGAAAAAAATTGAAATATTTAATTGCTTGACATTGTTTCTCAATGTAAAATAATACATCTGTTATTGAATTGTCTCGACAAAGGCGCAGAGTCGAGACCAAAACGTGCTGTGTCCGGTGGCGTTGGCGTCAACAATTTGAGAGATTGTGATTATGTCAGTTGAAGGGAACTACTAATAGCATGTCGATGATATGTGGTATGTATTTTTATAAGCATCGGCATATCTCATATTTAGCCGTTCGTGAATGGGTCAGTTTAAGATGAACCTTTCATGCTAAATAAACTCATCAAAGATTCTAGGATTATAACTTTGTACACCAGACGCGCGTTTCGTCTACAAAAGACTCAGCAGTGACGCTCGAATCAAACAAGTTAAATAGGACAAATAAAGTACTTAGTTGAATATGAAAATATGGAGATGTGGTATGATTGCCAATGAGACAACTATCTACCAAGAACACCATTGAGGACCCAAATTCCGAAAGGTGTTGCCAAATACAGCTAAAATTATCTATTCCTGGGGTAGATAATCCTTAGTGTTTCGAAAAATTAAAAAAAATGTGAACAGTTAATTTATTGATATGACCATATCAATGATAATTCATGTCAAAACAGAAGTGCTGACTACTAGAATGGTAATACCCTCGGGAAGGAAATTTCCACTAGCAGTAGCATCGACCCATTGGTTGTAAAAAAATCTCATCGTAGATACCAGGATTAAAATATTGTACGTCTACAAAAGATTCAGCAGTCACGCTCGAATAAAACAAGTTAAGAAGGCCAAATAAAGTCTGAAGTTGAAGAGCATTTAGGACCTTAAAATTTCGAAAGGTTTCAGTGATGATTAATCATTGAAATTAGTTAGGTATTAGTATAGAAACATCTCCTTTTCCGTGGAAATTATTTGGCCATCGTCTCAGGATTTTGAAACTTTAGCTGAGTTAAATATTAATGTTTGTGGTAGGCCCGTTAAAGTATTGCATTTTTAATTTCAACATTTGCATGGTACTATATAATTTACATACAGGCAAGACATATGTATCTATGTCATCAGTATATTTTATACATTTTTCTATAATCATGGTGTACAAATATGTACAAGACTAGTAGTTCAATGTTCTCAAACACAGAAGATTTAAACACTTGGCAAGATTAGAAACAATAGTAAATATGTGTGAAAGGTTAAGAATATTTTTCAATTGATAATAAAGGTAAGGAAAATGTGAAGTTAAATGTTCTTGTAAACATAAGCGGATGTGGTAATATATTTGAAATAGTGTATTGATCAATTTTAACTTTAATTACGCAATTACGCAATTACGCGTTCAAATTCTTATAAAAAAAATATTCAAAACGGATAAATCTTTGCATCATCAGGTGAAGACCGCTATCAATTGACAGAAGCGTAATGCTTCATTTCATTCTTTGTGAATATTTTCTTTGGTCTGTCGCATGTCTATTGAATAAAATAAAGAATGTTTAAAACAATTTAATCATATATGATATGTATTTGATTTTGTAAGATAATTCGTAGGTTCCTTTTAAACGCAATTTATGACAATACCATTGAATGAATCAAGTTAGACTTTTTGTAGTATTTGAAATGTTTTGCTGTATATCGGTGTATTATTTGTAACTAACTTAACGCGTTAAAAGGGCAAATTTCCTTTCAAAAGTCAATTATGTTTTTGTCTTTTGAAATATGGTAATGACAAATCGGAACACAATGACTATACAGAAATATGTTGGGTTTTTTTTGGAAATCAAAGTTATGTTTAAAAGTACGTATACTAGCATTTTGTTTTTGTAACTACCAAATTTACTCCTTCTATTGCACAATTATAATTATGATTTGCCTCCTCTGTCTTTCTTCTATATTATAAACTATAAAAATGTTACCAATTAGTTTACTATATAAATATTATAACAATAAGGTTTTTAAACTTTATACGTCATAAAAACTCATAGGTCGAACAACACTTTTTTTTCAAGAGTATAAAACCCATTTTGGCTGTTTCGTGTGCATATATGTTTTATCCCTACATTAGGAAAAATGTAAGCTAAAGTATGAACGCAAAATACATGAAAACATTGGTATCTATGTAATCATTTTCTTGACAGATCAGCAAAATATATCGAATGGTACATTTTAACAACCTTCAATGTGGTTTAACATGTTTCAAGAAAAACAAAAAAAATCATGACAACGCAAACGGCAAAAAGAAAAGTAATAATCCAAAGAACATTACACAGAAAACTACAGACAGAGCCAAAATCTGGAGTTGATCTGATATGTGTCCGGAATGGAAATTTATGAGTAGTAATTTTTGACTCTACTAATAAATGTTGTGTTGGTTGATATATCATGGCAAGACAATTTTTTGAAAAGCCGCATTTGGTGATGTCACAATTGAAAAAGAAATTGTTTATTAGTTTTGTTTGCGTTTTCTTTTTATGTTAACATATTTTCACATGATTTAACAATCTTTTTTAAGAAGTTAATTTCAAAACTTTAGGTTGATAATACTATTCAGTTTTGTTTGTTTCAAATGTTGTAACCTTAACAATTTTTGTAAGGGTTTGAGTTACTCAATTCTTAATTTTTATGAGCAGTGTTGTTTGTCTTTTTTCTTATGATTCGTTTTCTTCTTTATCGACTGATGGTTTTGGTTAGTAATTTGCTGTCATTTTACTGTTCTAATGATAATTTGTCATGCACGTCATAAATCTTGCGTCTTCACTCTTGTTTAGAACTTATCTTTGTTTTCGAGAATGGATGTCCTATTTTCTTATTCATACATGAGTTTTGCATAACAATTTTTTTCTATAACACACAGGTGTTGAGAACGCCCAATTGTACATATTATTTGTAAACATTCTTGCCAAATTCATATGTGTCTGTCTACTGTTTTTAAGCAACCGATATTCTTTAATAAAATATTTAAAACTATAAAATACAGTATCGGAAGAAAGATATTAAAAAGTGTTCATTGTGCACATATCTTCCTCGCAGCTAAGACAAAAAATTAATCAATTGATATAATTCCAAATAACGTCCATTTTTTGTTTTGTTTCAGTGCTCGTGACCACAGCAATCAACATGCTTTATGTAAGTAAAATGACTGCTGTCGTAACATAAACAATATATTTTATTTAAAAAAAAGACAGAAAAATATTTCTTTTGGATTTGAGTCCATGTTTAAAGGTTTTACATAAAAAGGGTAAGTATACATCTTCCATCCAGAATTTCTCTTGATTACAACAACATAAAAAATATTCCAAAAAACTCTAATTTTGCTAAGTAGGATTAATCTCGAGCAATTCAAATTAATGTTAAATTATAGTTTGGAGTTTCGAAATATTTGTTAACTTTTAAATTAAAGACAAATTTTCACAAAACAGTCAATTTTGGTAGGTGTACACACATGTGAATCTTTTTGGGCATAAGAATACATTCTGCTGATAAAAAAAATCCACAGAAAGATAAAAGATTGATCTTTTTAAAGCAATAATTAGCATCTCTGCCCAAGGCGACAGTTTTTTTGGGAAAGAATCTTAAAATTTAAACAAAAAGGAAAAGTCGAGTACACCTTTTATGTTAAGGCTTGTTTGGGTTGACTTTTTGGTTATCGAGCATAATCTCAGTATATGAACACATCTTTTTAATGAAACGATGGTCTTGTTAAATTCGTGGTAAAATGCTATAAAACAATATATCAGGAGTTTTTCACTTTTTCTTTGTGATCATATATGCAACGAGTCATTTGTTATTCGATTGTAACTCTTCGTTACTGAATGCTATTTAGTTTTATATTTATTTCCTTTTTCATAGTTTGCCTTATCCCAATTGAATAAATCGCTCGAAGTCGGAAAAGTTGTTTCATTTGAAATCAACTGTGAGAATAAAACTCTTGCATCAGTGTCCGGGTAAGTAACGGATATACTGAGTTATTTTATTAACAATAAGTGAAAACCAACAAACAATAGTAATGCAATTTGTTCTTTAAATCAAAAAGCTTTATTTTGAAAATACAAAAACGATTTGAATTTAATTGCTAGGTTTTATTACATGTACAGTGTCTTCTTATATTAGCCTATTTTATAACAAGTGTACATTAATGGTAAATAAAAATAATAGTAATTAATGACCATTGTAATAATATACTATGCTTTCCCTTACAATTGTTCCTTCAAAACAGTGGTAATTTCGTCTCTGCTGACTTTAAATGAAGAAAAGCGACGTCGTTATTGTTTTCATTTTATGTGTGCTTTATGCTCCTTCAATAATTTTCCTTTATTTATTGAAGTGGATTTGCAGTCAATTTTCAACAAGACAACGAAGACTTCGAAAATATTGCTTTGCATTTCAATCCAAGAGCTAACTCTTCCAAAGTTGTATTGAATACACGCATTTCGAAAAAATGGCAGAAGGAAATTTACATTGCGGATGGAAATATTAAAAATGTGTACTTCGACAATCCCTTCAAATTAACAATCGATGTGAAGGATAAAACATATATTCAAATTTCTGTAAATGATCAAGTGAAAACAGGATATAACTGCAAAATTGATATAACATCAGTGAAATATATTTGCCTAGCAAGTGGTGTAACTACTAAAACTTGAGTTGTTAAGGGTAGTTTTATTTCATTTACATTCATGATAAACAACGTTTGTATAAAAAAAACTCATCTTAAGCGTTGTTCCACCGTTTATTACCAATCTGAACAAAAACTAAATATACCTATGCTTTTCTGAATGTGTATAAATCTTTGTAAAACATTAAAAGAAGTATATAAATATTGCTTTATCTTTTTTCAGGTTTCATGTTTAATTGCATTCTAATGTTTCCCTTTTTTTATTCGATCGTCACTGGTGTGTCTTTTGTAAACGTAACTGACGTCAAGGGTGCACAATTTCAATTCTGGTATCTATGATGAGTTTATTTCTATTCTTAATTGTGAATACATACTCATTTGTCATGGTTCTCATTTATCACGTCGAAATATATCTTTTATAATATCGTTTACAACCTTTTTACATGTGTCATTCTTTTTAAATCAGGTACTTTAAATCACAACTTGTAATTGAAAGACACACTTAATGAAAAGATTTAACTCAACATGATGTATTAAACATGGTAAACATGTATAAATTCTTCTCTAAGATGAGTTTACTATGCTATTGACTTTCGTTGTATGAATATATTTTGATTTTTGTCATCTGGGCTTTGTGAGATTATTAAGACCTTTTCTTCTAGTTTATTGCTTATCGACAAATGCCGCCTCGAAAGAATGTATTACAGAAAGAAAAACCCCTTCTTATATGTTTAACCTGAAGTATACGCAATTATGAATCTGTCAAAAAAATCTGTCATTAAGAAAATACGATGTACTATGAGCACAAGGGTTTCTAACCTATTCACGAACCCGGAGGTTGTGGATGCTTTATCCTCTTTGCATGACAAATAGCAGATAAAGCCTCCAATAATATTGTCTTCATATGTAAAAACCATTACTTGGAATGTCTCACAAAAGAGCCTGGAATAAACAGCAAAAATGGTAATCCTACATATTCTTTAACATCATTTACAAAAGATGAAATTTTACAAATCACATATCTGTCCGTCTTACGTTTTGTATTAACATCAAAGAAAACAAAGAAAATCTACCGCCATTTTACTGGAAACCTAATCTTCACAAAACTCCTTATAAAGAACGATACATAGCTGGATCATACAGATGTTCAACTAAACATCTTTCTAAAGTGCTGACTACTATTCTTTCTACATTAAAAGATGGCCTTCAAAAATATTGTGATGAGATATATTCCACCAGTGTTGACAATCAGATGTGGATTCTTAAAATTTCTAAAGATCTACTGCTAAATCTTAGATCACAATCTCTGCAATTTTGCAGCAACATTTAAACTTTTGATTTTTCTACGCATTACACTACTATTCCCAATGCTTAATTGAAAGATCGACTTCACCATCTCATTAAACAGAGCTTATTCTATAAAAAAGGGAATTGTAGATATAAATTTCTTGTTTTGGGTTAAAATAATTCTTATTTTGTGAAGAACCATTCTGATTCTATCAGAAAATATACTGAAGATGATATTATCAAAATGCAGGACTTTTTAATTTACAATATATTTGTTGAGTTTGGAGGATTGATATATATCAACAGACAGTGGGTATTCCAATTGGTACTAATTGTGCTACCCTACTGGTCGATTTGTTTTTATACTAGTATGAAGCAGAATTCATTCAGAACCTTCTAAAAGACAAAAAGAAAAAAGAACACCTTGTGAAATTCTTTAATTTTACTTTCAGATATATTGATGATGTCCTATCACTGAATAACCCATATTTCAGTCAGTTCTTACATCTCATATATCCGAGTGAACTTGAAATTAAGGATACTACTGATGCTAGAAGGACTCCTTCATACCTTGATCTTTTCTCAATATTGACACAGATGGACGACTTCACACTTAAATCTATGACAAACGCGACGATTTCAACTTCCCAATTATCAATTTCCCATTTCTCGTATGGTGTTTACATATCTCAATTGATACGTTATGCTCGTGCATGTTCACACTATACGGACTTCATATACAGGAGTGTGCTCCTTACGCAGAGACTGCTCCAACAGAGTTATGAGGTGGAAAGATTAAAAATGACACTCCGTAAAATTTATGGACACCATCACAAATTGTTTGATCTATACGATGTGTCTGTGTCTAAACTAACTAACGACATTTTAACCACGTCTTAGATTGTAGTTTACCATCTACGTCGTCTTGTCTGCGAAGTACCGAATGTGACCTATTCCCGAATATGACTGTTTTGACGAGTGTGAATTCGCATTACTATTAGACGTGTCTCGGTATTCATACATCCAACCTTCATGTATTTAGTTATGATGTTCCTTTCGTAAGTCTGGTTGTATATTGTGTTCTGTCTTTTCGTTTCTAGTTTGAAATCCTTTTTTATTTTCCATATTTATGTAAAAGTTAAGATAATTAATCAGCTAGTTCATTTATATGATGTTTAATTAAAAGCAACTATATGCACAGTATTTATTTGTTTTTACACAATCTTGACTGTGCCTCTAGTATTTTTCGTCCCTCTTTTGATTTAGACGAAAAACCGACATGGTTAGAAAATACAAACGCTTACACCATTACTAACACAATTCTATATTTTAATATTCTTGTAATGGTTAGAAAATACATAAAATAACACCATTACAAACTTAATCCCAATTGTATATTCTATTTTTAGAAATTTACCTGTGACGTCACTTTTTGTGGCGTTGATACATTCGTGTGATGGAAAGTTCATAATTCTCTTGTGGTGTACTAGTGTATTGTTTTAAATTAATGGAAGTTTGTTCGTTGTTATTCTGTAGTTTACATGTTGTAATGTACTATTGTATTGTGTATTTTTCTGTCCTGAGTGATCTATCGTTTATTTGTACTGTGTTCCTGTCACGTAGTGTTGTCATTTTAGCGTTATTTGTAGCATTGCCATATAAGCGGAAGGTTTGGCTAGCCATAAAACCAAGTTTAACCCACCTTTTTTTCTTAAAATGTCCTGTACCAAGTTAGGATTATGGCAATTGTTATCAAATAGCCCGTTTCTATGAATGTTTGTTTTTGTATCAGTTTAGTGTTTCTGTTGTTCCGTTGTTTTCCTCCTATAGTTGATGTGTTTCTCTCGGTTTTGATTCGTGACCCGGATTTGTTTTCGCTCAATCGACTGATGACTATTGAACAGCGGTATACTATTGTTGTCTTTATTCAAATACATTCAGAGAAAACTGCACCAACTTCTTTTCACAAAACATTTTCTTTTAAAGATAGTACAGTAGTCGAAATTATTAATTGTCATGACACTTAGGTTGCAAATCCTTCAGTCAGGTGATCTGAATCTGATTAATCTGTTCTGGTTATATTTATTTTGATTTTGGCTCTTATTTGCAGGTTTCGCTAAGACTTTTAGATGAAGCACCACAATTAAAGCGCCGTTCTTTTGCTTTCGTTTTTTCTGAAAAAGCGTATGTTGATGTAATGTCATTAATTGATACACCATATCCTTTGTTTTCTATCACGAAAGCTAACTTTCTAAAAGTTACATATATTGTGTGTGCTAACATCTGCATCATAATACCTATGTATAATAACTACAAACGTTTCACTACAAGGACCAAGGAAGCACTATATTGAAAAAAAAGTTCTCCCATTCAGGACCAAGTCTATATGTGAAGTTTTAATAATATATATTCACCTATGCATCCAAAATTAAGATTCAAACGGCACGTGGAAATCATGAAATGACAAACACACAATATTTGTACGTTCTACAATCACAGATTATCACGTCGGTTAATACGTTGACATAATGCTGAAAACATAGGCCTCTCCATGTTCAGAAGGTGTCGCAATACCGAAAACGTCAATTATTAATCTATCTTCATTAAGCGCCGTTTTTGGATTTTAGCAATATTATCATGCTGGTATATACATAAATATATCTGATGACATTTGTTGTGATACTAGAATAGTTGCAAAATTACTCTATTAAGGTGTCAAATATGTGACCGATATCTTTTTTTGTCTTATTGTTTAATCTCAAAATGATCTTGACATGAATGTTTATATATACCGTTGTTATCTTCCATTAGAGAAGTCACATGTTACATGAAAAATAGATGTATTGATTTTCAAGTTGTTGTTCCAGAAATTTTCCTGAATGTGAAAGCCAATCACAATGAATAAATAGTGTATTCTTAATTTGTTTCATTTTTCTGTTTTAGTATGTATAATCTTCGTTCATCTTTAATTTTTATTTGAAAACCGATAGTATTGATTAAAAGCTGCATTCTTATTACCTTTCACTGGCTTCCACTATTGTTTTGTGCTATGATGTAAACCAACTAATGTTCTCGACTCTCGCAAGTAGATTGATAACGCGATGTCTGCATGTTGTCGGTTTTACTTATCACATTGAAAAGTTGAAAAAAATCTGATAAACAAATCTGTTCTGTACAAATACGTATTGAAGTTCTGATGGGCAAATGTTGATGACGGTTTGTGCAAAAGGTACATTTTAGTGCGTGCCAACAGGCGCTTTTGCCCCTCTTAAATCATAGATTCTCAAATGTTGCCTGGTGCGCCAATGTGAACGCTTTTTGTCATTGAAATAGTAATAAAAATAGACATGATTACTTTTTAGAGTAAAGTATTTATTAAGTTAAAGGTTCGACATTTAGTTATATACAGTCGACAGTGGATACTTCAAATAGT